AGCAGAAAGTAGGGCAGGTCTATTACAGTTTAGATAATGGCTTGTCCCATAAAGTTTCATGTTTTAAAATTTGGTGTTAGGGTGATTAGATGTTTCCTAGAAATTCATGTGCTGGGACTTAATCGTGTTGATTGTTTTATAAAGGTGTTGAATGAAAACTTAATTCCTCCATGGTTTCTCAGGATGGGGCCTTTGGGGGTGACAGTGTCATTAGAGTGAGGTCTCCATGACTGAATTCCTCTAAGACTTATAAGAATAGATAATGTGGGACCAGCAGTTGGCATAATGGTTATGTTGCTAGACTCCCATGTAGTCAACCGCAGTTTGAGTCCTGGACCCAGTGGCTTAAACTCTCTATGGACGCATGTGCGTGTGTGCCCAAGATCTTGAGAGGAGAATGGAGGAGAAGGGATTGTGGCATGGCCATTCCCCCTGGGGGGTGATTTCTTGCTTTCTGTCTCTGTCTCTTTCTGGTGAACGCATGTGCCCTATAGCAAAACCTCTCAAAAAAAAAAAAAAAAGAATAGAGAATGAAACAAAAATGGCAGAGGGTCAGCCATCTAAACAAAGACTATGCTCCGCTCTGCTAAAAGTTCTGTCTTCCTTGGGAACCAGCAGTTAGCGTAATGGCTATGTCGCTGGACTCCCACGTAGTCGACTGCAGTTCACGTCCCAGACCCAGTGGCTTAAAACTCATGCCGGGCGCATGTGCGTGCGTGCCCAAGATCCCAAGAGGAGAATGGAGGAGAAGGGATTGCAGCGTGACCATCCCCCCTGGGGGGTGATTTCTCGCTTTCTGTCTCTATGTCTCTGTCTGGTGAGCACACACGCCCTATAACAAAAACCTCTACCAAAAAAAAAAAAGTTCTGTCTTCCACCAGTTTTTGATGTATTTGGACTTTCAAGCTTCCAGAATGGTAAGTCATTAAACCCCTACATTTATAAATTCACCCAGTCTCAGTAATTTCTGTTAGCAATGCAGTAATTGACTAAGACAAGGTCCGAATAAATAATATACAGGAAACAAAAATCAAAAGCCCTCATTGCTGGTAGGAAACTCAGAGGGTAAACTGCCTCTTCATGTGAGACCTCCTGGTGATTGCTATTCAGGATGAGAAGAGTTGTGCCTTGCAGGACCTGAGAAACAGAGAGAGAAGTGAGTCAGAGAATGAAAGAAACGTTGGACAGATGGCAATGATTATAAGGAAGACGGAAAGCCTGTTTCTGACTATACCTGTCAGAATTCTCTGTCCAGCCTCACAACTTAACTGGGTACTAGTAAGAGGAGGGGACTTAATTGTGTCTGCATATTCTCTAGAGGTCTATGGGATGAGGTCATGCAAAGCTTTATTCTCCTTGAATCCTGGTGTTAAGATGGAGCAACAGTCTCAGGACCACAGGAAAAAGCTGTTCCTGCTGTAGTTACTGAACTTTCTAGGTTGTGAAACCTATGGCAAAGATCTCAGACCTGGTGGTTTCCTAATGGGTCCCAGAGAGGCACACATTAAAAGATTCCTTTCATCAGGGCCACCCTCATCCACTTGTTGCTTGTGGTTCTTGGGAGAATCTGCACAAGACTGATGACACTTGAAATCTTGGGAGGAGAGAGGAGAGGGATATTATAGTGGAATAAACTTTTCCCAATATCTGCATGGAAAAAGAATCGTCACTCTACTGCCTAGAGGAGGCTGAAGGCAGGATGGTACTCACACTTACTGATACATGTCAGTAGGTAAGTATACTCCTTCTCTGTTAATCCAGCTCCTCTATCACCTGTCCACTGAACAAAAACTGGCCATCTTGCTGTAGTTTGGTTGCATTCCCCTTAACTCATGTTGGGACTTGGTTGTACTGTAAAGGTGTTAAGTGGAAACTTAATCCCTTCATGGTGTCCCAAGGTACAACCCTTGGGTGTGATATAAGCATTAGAACAGGACTCCTATCATTGAGTTCCAAAGTGTTAATAAGAGAATAAAAGAGAGCAGAACAAGAAGAAATGCATGGAGGGCCACAGTGTTCAAGATTTTGCCTCCACCATTATGTGATGCCTTGGGATCTTCCACATGACCAGAATTGTGTCAAATAATTTATTCTCTTAAATTCTCCTAGTATCAGGTATTTTTGTAAGCAACACAAAGATGAACTAAGACACATATTTCCCTCCAAGCTCATTTTCCTTGGCCCAAGATACTCTGTATGGACTGAACTAACCTGGGGGCATAGACAACCCATGTTATCCCCTGAAGGCACTTCATAAGTCAAGAGAGGAAACCAGAGTCAATAACTGGAAAAGGTGGCTCTAATTAAGGCAGAGTCCATGGAGAAGGTAATGAATATGTTCAACAAAACAGAAATAATTCTCAAGGAGATTCAGTTAGAGAAGAGAAAAAAAAGCTTTCTGAAGTTTAAGCTAAAATAAAACATGATGTGTGAATTTACAAATATGGTAAACAGAATGGCCACTCTGAGTACTAAACTGATGTTCTGAGTGAGCAAAAGGAAGATATTTCATACAACAGAAATAAAAAGTCATTAAAATAGAAATTATATGCGAAAAGAAGATCTAAGCCTCTGATGCAAATAGCAGTTGGTTCAGAAGGAGAGAAAGTAACACAGACAGTAGCATAGAGAAGAAAAGTAGTAGTACAAAAATAAGTAAAACAAAAGAAACTTTCTAAAGCTAAAGAAAGATCTCAGAGAAAACCAAACACATCTTCAAGAAACTGCTAAAATAGTACAAAAATAGAGAGTCAATCTTATCAATTTACAGTATAATAGAATCAGACTTATAAATTATACTATAAACCAGAAGACAATTAAAATGACTATGGACTGTTAAAAAAAGTAAGATTAAGAGTCAATAATTTTATACCTAGCCAAGGTATGATCATTTAGAACAAAATAATAACATTTTGGGCCAGTAAGAACGCAGACTATTGCCTGCCTTGTGACCTGTCTGAAGAAATACATAGAAAGTATTTTGTCAAATGGAAGTAGATTTGAATATGGAACTCAGGTTATGGAAAAACAGGGAGCACAGGAAACAGTAATAGCTACATATAGGTGAAAGATATGAGTATTGTGACTAGAAATCTATAATACTCCTAATGCTTTTTAAGCAGGAAAGGAAATCCCTGATAAAACAAAATTTCAAACTTTTTCAGCAATGAAGTGTGCGTGTGTGTGTGTGTGTGTGCATGCATGTGTGTATGGAAGAGAGAAACAGAGGGATAAATTGTATGTGTGTGTGTGTGTGTGTGTGTGTATTTATGTTGCTGGATATATAAGAATGTGTGTGTGTATAAGAGTGTGGAGTGTGAAAGCGTGTGTGTGGAGAGTGTGTGTACATGCACAAGACCACATGCAGGGGATGAAGTGGGAAACGCAATACATGATGAAATAAAGGTCTCTTCTCAATCTTCCCAATAAATAAGAAGAGGAAGAATGGGGGCATAAAGGAACTGGGAGCACAGAAATGATGTAAGTTTTATGTAATTCCTGCTCTCTTCCTCAGGGAAAAAAAAAAGTTTTTTAATGAGCCAATGAGTGGCATAGTGGTTAAGGTGCTGGATTCCCACATGGTTGACCATGGTTCGAGAGCCAGACGTGGCAGTTTGAAACTCAGGGTGGGCATGTGTGCATGTGTGCCCAAATTCCAGGAGGAGAATGGAGGAGGAGGGATTGCGACATGGCCATCCTCTCCAAAGGATGATTTCTCTCTTTCTCTCTCTCTGTCTCTCTGGCAAGTGCACATGCCCTAAAGCAAAAGTCTCTCTTAAAAATTTTTTTAAAAAATTCAGTGACCATGTATGATTAAAAACTACAGTAACAAAAAAAATTATCTATTTAAAACTAACAGTAAAGGAAGGTAATAAAGAAAACTAGGTAAAGTAAAACTAAAAAAAGCAAAAAATAGAAGATAGTGAGCAAAATATAATATAATGTGCTGCTCAGAGGGGAAGGATCCTGCATGGTGACTGACGTTTGAAGCTCTGACCCAGTTGGCCTGAAAACACACTAGGCACATGAACAAGTGCCCTAGATCTGACATACTGGAGGACTGGAGAAAGGGGGTTGAGGCGTGACCAGACTTGATGGAGGGTGCTTCTCTCTCTCTCTCATCTTCATGTGTGTACACATGTACTCTATCTTGAATAAAGAAAAAGAAGAATATATGCAACATAAAGCCAAAATATGTACAATTACTATATGCTGGCTAAATTCTCTTACCAAAAGACAAAGACTATCATATTAGTTATAAAATCCTGACATACGGTATTTTTAGAAACACACTGAAATGAAGTTTAAAAAAAGACTGGAAATTAAGAGATGGGCACGGATTTACTAAACAAACACAAAGGAAAAAAATAAACCAGCATAAGTGACAACATTGACATCAATCAAAATGCAAAGGTAAAGGCATGAAGAGGAATAACCAGGCTGAAGAGGAATAACATGAAGTCGGAAAAAAGTTAATTAATAAATAAGCTCTATATAAGTCAAAAACTTAAGGTGAATAAGGTAGTCGCCATATATAGAAAGCAAAGTTCCCAGAAATACAAACAAATTAATGAAAACAGATTTATTGTGATACATTTTTAATATTCTTCTTTCAGAATTTGACAGTTGAAGTATATTTTTAAGACAAGGATATAAAGGATTTGAAAAAATACAGTAAATAAACTATAAAATTGTCCCTCATATTCATGTGATATATAAATTAATCATATATTTGATTAATAGCATTAAAAAAACTTTGATTAAATTTCCCAAAGCAGAGGTGTTTTTCTTTTAAATTTTAAATTATTTGTAAAAGAAATCAGCAATAAAAAGATTTAAAATTCCTGTAATTATTGTGAAACTAACAAATTTCTTTCACATAATTCCTGGTTTGAAGAGAAAGTCAAAATTGAAACCACAAATTAAGTATCCAAAAGGAAAAAGAAAAAAAAAAACACAACAACATTGTATGGAAACCTATTGGATACAGCTAGAGCTATATTCATGGGGAAATTTGTAGCCTTAAATAGTTCTATGGTTTAAAAATAAAACAAAATAAAATTCACAAACTCATGACTTTCACAACATGTTTGGAGCAATTTGCATCTTATTTTTTCTTGATTATTGAGAAAACGATGAGGTAGTCCCAAGTGCCTCCATTGATTTTCATATTTTCTTCAGTTAAACTGGTTTCCTTTCTAATTTCTTCCCTTTGTCAGTGTCACAGTGAGAATGAATGAAGCGATCAAGAATTTGTCTATCTGAAAATGGCGAAGAAAACAGAATGAAAATTTCAATGTATTTAAATGTTATTAATTAAGACATTCTAGGAGAGAAGAAATACCTGGTAATAATACGATATGCAAATGTTGATAAGAGATCAAAATAATCAAAGGCTATTATGTCAAGTATCTATAGAGGTACAGTTGCAGAATTATCAAAGGTAAACTTAATATTCAATGGATCAGCAAGCTTACTGGAAAAAAACATGGATTTTAGAATGTAATAGACTTGTTTCAGTTCTGTGGTGGTGAATATTAAAAAGCCTTTCAACTTCTTAATATCCTAATTTTTTTTCTTCTTTTTAATATGCCCAAGGGTTCATGCACTCATTGGATGGAGAGAGAGGGAGAGAGGAAACAAGAAAGTATTCCCTTGGGGCATGTTCACACCATAATCCCTCCTCCTCCATTTCTTCCTTCTTTAGATATTTTGGGTACCCACATGTGCCCAGCATGCTTTTCAAGCTTCTGGGTCCAGGACTTGAACCATGTGACTGGCTATATAGAATCTAGCCACCAGGCAACAGGCTGGTCTATCTTCAGTTCTGAATATAGGTAACGGTATTTATCTTGCATAGTTGGTAGAGTAAGTTAGGGGCAATGTGTATGAAGCACCTAGACAGTACCTGGCCTATCAGACAATAAATAGTAGTCTTACCCTTTCATTATTGAGTGCACAGTAATTAACAGTGATGGTAAACAATGGAAGCCATGGTTCTAAAAGTTTCAGAGAAGCCAGGCTTGTTATTCTAACCACAAGTGTTGGAAAGCTTTGCTATCCTTGAGCAATAACTGTCAGACCCTAGGAAGACTCTCAACTCCCTGTCTTCTATTCCCTCACCTGTAGAAAGAATCTTGCCTATTTCTGAGTATCTATGATTCCTAATCCTAGTTACATTTTTTAATAGTACAGAGTGGAGCTATCAAACTATGCTCATGCTCAGTAATTGTCACCTATGTAGGCCAAATGAAAAAGGAGTAAGAGTGTGAATGGTCATGTTACCATATTCAATGTTTATATTATTCTGCTCAGTGTCACATGTGCCATCTGAGGTCCATAGATCAGGGATGTGCATGTGTGTGCATGCATGTGCATACATGTGTGTTTTTCTGCTTTCTCTTCAATTATGTCTGCACTTATTTGTCTTTGTGATCTTGTGTTTAATTTTCAATCCCCCCTACCCTATTTCATACCTTTTCTGGACCCAGTATTATCTTTTAATTGCTGGGAGAGCATGTGTACTCTCCAGAAACAGAGAGAGAGATGGGTTGAGAAGAGAAAGAGAGAGAGAGAGAGAGACTTCAGTGGGGTGTGGTCATGCTGCAATCCCTTCTCTTTAATTTCTTCATTCTACTGAGATTTGGGATATGTCTGGAGACACACCCAGCATATTGTTCAAGCTGCCAGGACCTGGCATGTATACTAAAACCACATTCAGCCATGTGGGGTCAGCCATGTGGCTCCCTTAACCACTAGTCTACAGAGATGGCCTCGACCTAGTAATTTCTTAAATGAAGTACACTTCTCATAAAGCGAAATACACCAGTCTTACATGTAGAGTTTGATGAATTGATTCTGCATACCTATAGCCCACATCTACATAATACTTATCATTTCCGCCATCCCAGAAGATCCTTTGTGTTCCTTCCCAAACTGTCTACCCCATGATAGTAACCATTTTAATGTCTTTTATTCTAGATAAGTTTGTCTATTGTAGACCTTCAAATAAATAAGATCATATAGAAGGTTATTCTTTTGCCTCTGGCTTCTTTTGTTAAACATCATGTTTCTGAGGTTCAGATATTTGTTATATAAGTCAGTAATTTATTTCTTTTTATTGTTGAGTGATATTTCATTAAGTGACTATACCACAATTTTTATGTATCCATTTTACTGTTGGTGGAAAGTTGGAGTGTATCCAGTTTGAGGCTATTAAGAATAAAGTGGGGGAACGAGCAGTTAGCATAATGGCTATGTCACTGGACTCCCCCGTAGTCGACCGCGGTTCGCGTCCCTTACCCGGTGGCTTAAAACTCACGCCAGGCGTGTGTGTGTGCGTGCCCAAGATCCCGAGAGGAGAAAGGAGGAGAAGGGATTGCGGAGTGACCATCCCCCCTGGGGGGTGATTTCTCGCTTTCTGTCTCTATGTCTCTCTCTGTCTGTCTGGCAAGCGCACGCACGCTATAGAGAAAAAAAAATCTCTCCAAAAAATATAATAAAAGAATAAAGTGGTAATAAACATTCCTTGTACATGTTCTTTTGGAGACATGTTATCTTATCACTTAAGTAAATACCCAGAGGAGGAATTTCTGGGTCACAGAGTAGGTGTATGTCTAATTTTGCAGGAAGCTGACAGACTTGTTTCCAAGGCATTTGCAGTATTTGGTGGTCCTATTAGCAATATATGGGACATCTGATTACTTCCTATCATCAACTTTTGCTATCGCCAGTTCTTTTCATTTTAAACATTTAAACTATTGTTAAACTGTATACCAAAGAGTTTATTTTAAAATAAGCAAAAAAAGTCCTTCTGATTCCAAAGATACACATACGAGATAAGTCAAATTTGTCATGAATTATTATTTTTTACAAATATTTATTTTTTTATTTTTATTCGCTATTATTATTGTTTAATTTGACAACAGAAAGAGGAGAGAGAGAGAAAGTGAGAGCGCGAGCTGCCAGGTCTGAGACTCAAACTGTGGCTGGCCATATGGGAGTCCAGCACCTTAACCACCATGCCACCTGCTGGCCCAGCATAAATTAACTTTTAAAAAATGAGATGATGTAAAATTAAAAGTTAACTTAAATACTTGTTCAAAAAGGCCACTAGGTGTAATTAAATGCTACCCATATTTATTATGTATAGATGCAGATTCATGTCCTGGAAATTTTATTTTGTTTATGCTGCTCCTTGGGCTAAGAATGGCCCTGCCTCCATTTAAGGGACACAGAAATGGAGGACTGTCTGTTGATGATAATGTGTACAATAATATCTTCAACTGGACTGGTGTGCAGTGTATTCTTGCTGGGAAAATTCATTTTACAAGCTGTGGTGATGTACAGTGATTGAATGTTTAGAATAAATTGAAAAACAAAAAGAAAGAGAGGGAAAAGAAAAAAAAAGGAATGGCCCTGCCTCTCTTTGTCATGCACATTTATATTTGAGATTTAAAGGACACCTCCTCTGAGCAGCCTTCCCTCAGATCCTATGGACCCTTAAGGTTGGGAGTACCGCTCACAGGATTCTAATACACACAAAGATCACTTTGATTACACAGCTTGTGACATCGTCGCTGTGTCTGTCTCCCATAACAAGCAATGAATTCTCTGAGAAGAAGCATTTTTTAAAAATGTATCTTTGTATCAAGTGAGCATTTTAGGTATTCAATCAATGAAGTTTATTGAGTGAGTGAGTAAATGCATTCTTAATATTGAATTGCAGGCAAGGAAAGTAACCTTTTGGATAGCCATTTCATGGAAATTTCAGATGGATGAAGAGATGAGGGATCTTAGCTGAACGAGTTCACAGACAACCACATCTTTCCAGTGGACAGACAACACTGCCTTTACCAATAGATAGCAGACAACCCAAGAGTAAGCTTTTAGGTGGTCTGAATTAGATTCAGGGATGAAAACGATTTTGAAATTAGAATAGCCACTAAAGGCATCTAAATCAATGTCCTCAAGTTATAAAGAAAGAAGCTCGGTACTCAACAGTGGGGACACACAGAGTCAACGGAAATTAGTTCAACTTCAGCGGCTCGCTCCCTTTTTAAAAATGTGTTGAGCATGTTTAAGGTTTATTTGTTTATTTCTCTCATGAGAGAGAGAAACAGGCAAACCCAGCAGGGCCTTCACATTGCGATCCCTCGTAGCCTCAGCCATTTTGGATGTTCCATGTGCCCAGTGTGTACAAGGAGACCTCGGGACGGGAACCTGGGACCTCCCACGTGGGTTTGACATCGCAAGGCATGGTGTTGCCACTCTGCCACTGCACCCATCCTCCCCTCCTTTCTTCTTGCCCAGCCTTATTTTTTGTCTTGCTTTCTCTCTCTTCCACCTCACCTGCAACTCCCCAGCCTCTGCTCCCTGCACCCTAACTTAGTTCATTACTTAAGGGAGGCTGGTCCTTCCCTCTCCTCTCTCTCTTTCAAAATGTACTGTTCTGGGCTCCTATTCCATCAGGGCCTGCAGCCTATGAGGGATAATCCAGTAAAATAATTTAAGCTGAGTTGATAGTAATTCAACCTAATACATCTGCCAGACGTTTTTATTCTCCACATACTGACTCAGCCCTACCACAAAAAACTCCTGCTGACATATTCACCAGCTGAGAGGCATTAGTGTCATCCCTGACACTGGAAAATGACAAGTGGTTTTAGGCACAAGAATTCAAAGGGAACCTTCTATTTGCCTGTCAGCCTCTAACGCAGCTGGCATTGATGGGTGGGCTATTCTAAAGGAGGGCCAGGGAAAAGAAGCTAAAACCCAGGGGAGCAGATCCTGCATCTGCTCAAGTCAGCAAAAAAAAAAAAAAAAAAGCTCTAGGCATGAGACTTTGGGCACCTGCCCCAGAACTGCCCCAGAGGTACGAGGAAAGCCGGAGAACCCAGACAAAATGATTGCCCTGACCCTGGTGGTGCAGCACCTGGGATCTCAGCTGCAGGGCCCGGGGAGGGTCACAGCATGAAAGTATGGTTGAGAGTCCCTCTCGCTCTCTCTGTCTAATAAATCAAATTAGAAAAGAAGAAGCAAGAAACAACCTAGCCCATCCCAAAGTTACTTTGTAAACTAATCCTTGCCTTAAAGATCAGCTCATCCTAAGTACCTTGGACAATGGAGATTAAGTAGAGCAGAAGCTGCCAGAGCACTTTGTAGAGTTCCTAATCCACCTTTCAGGGGCTCAGCAAAGGCTCAGCTCATGTATGACTCAGACAAGGGACCCAGGTGCCCAGCACCCACCATGGTTTTCACAAAGGCAGAGAAAAGTGACAGCTGCATCTGTATTGGGAGTCCCTAGACAGATGAGAGCATCTGCTTAGGGAAGACAGAAATACAGTTGTGGCCCCAGAGGTAAAAAGAGCTCCTTGTAAAATGCAGGAAACAATTATATATATATGCACTGAAGCTGAGAAAAAGAACAGGAAGGCAGGCTTGAGCTGGGAGATTGGCCCAGCAGACCCCCTGGAGCCTCCTACTTCCCTCTGAAGTTCTGAACTGGCCCAGAGGCATCTGTTGAGAGGAATGAGACTCACAAAAAATTCATACTTCTGTTTCTGCCTTGCTATGAGCTAAACATCTGCTTCTTGTACTTCCCAGAAACCCAACATTCAAGCTTTCTCAAGGACTTTCAGGACCTCAGCCTTCGGTCTATGAAGGAGAGTGATACCTTCTGTTCTTCAATGTACGTGTGTGAGCACATGCACACACACGCATGCACGCACACATGTCTCCCTTTCAGTCTTGCCTATAGAAGAGTTTCCATCTTGTTTGAGGCCAGAGATTCCAGGAAAAAAGGTATTAGCAAGGATTTCAAAGGAGCAAGCTCTTCTGATGATAGCTGGGGACAGATGAAGGACAGCACTGGGGACCCAGAAGAGTTTGGAGACAAAGAGCAGGTGAAGGGCCATGGCATAGTTGGTGGGAGTCCTGAGCTCAAGCCTGATCACAGGGCACAGTGCAAGTTAACAAAACCCACATAGCCTAGAGGGGTGCTTTCTCCCTTGCTCAGTTCCTATCTCTTTGGTGAGTGCACATAACCTTTGACAATTAAAAATAAGTGTGTGTGTGTGTGTGTGTGTGTGTGTGTGTGTGTGTACACATACATTTTCAGAAGGGAAATTCTCCCTGAATTCTACTCTTACATGGGTGTTAGGAAGGTAATGTTCACCACCTGCTTAACACACACACACACACACACACACACACACACACACACCTGCACTTGTATATGTGCTCAAAAGTGAGGAGTAATAGTATGTGTGATCCCTGGCATAGGAAGCTGCGAGATTGCTGTAGGAAGAGTTTTCTTTCCTCTGCTCTAACTCTTGTTCTGAGATAACATTTTCCATGCTCTCAGACTGACCAGTTGTCCCTGAGATGCTCCCAAATGGATTTCAGTCTCCAGGTTGTGAACTGGGATAAATCTATTTTTTTGGGAGAGGTTTCTGCTATAGGGCACGTGCGCTCACCAGATAGACAGAAAGAGACAGAGAGACAGAAAGTGAGAAATCACCCCCCAGGGGGGATGGCCACACCACAATCCCTTCTCCTCCATTCTCCTCAGGATCTTGGGCACGCACACACATGCGCCTGGAGTGGGTTTTGAGCCACCGGGTCCGGGACGTGAACCACAGTCGACTACGTGGGGGTCCAGTGACATAGCCATTACACTAACTGCTGGTCCCGGGACAAATCTTTATTATGCAGACTGAAACAACACCATCCCAAGAATGGCATTTGCTCTGAGTGTGTAAAGTACGGAGAGTCTCATGTACTGTAAAGAGTCTGTCACAAAAAAGTACCACTAACTGGGAAATGCAGATTAAACAAATAAACCTAAACTTTGAAGTAGTACAAACATCCACTGGAGAAATCAATTAGCTGTAAGAAAAAGAGAGGTCTTCCTGGAGCGATTCCACCACAGGCAAGATGAAATCAGAAATAAGTGAAAAGTGCTCTGTCTTCTTTTTAGTAAGTGGGAATATAGTCACTGGGGCTCTTTTAAGAAAAACTTTTTTCAGTGGATTGGGGTTTGCACAATACTATTGGATTATTTTTTCGAGGCAGTTTTTGTTTTGTTTTGTGACATTCAACTTCAGTAGCTAGACATTGGAACAATTTCAGTGTGGCATAAAGCAATGTGTTATGATCGCATAAAAAGCCTAAAATCTTAACTACAGACTGCATCTTACCTTTGTACGAAACACTTGCAAGGTACTCTTTGATTTGAGAGGGAGTAAAGGAGTTTAAAATCATTAGGAAATCCAGGTAGGCCTTCCCATAGTCGCTTTGATATGTGGTCTGCTGCTTCGTGCGCTCCTGATTCCGCATGTAACTGTGCAGCACGGACGGGACTGCAGAAACACGCATGGGAGAGGAAGACACGCAGGCTGTCACCTGAACCAAGAACTCTTTCTCTCAGGTTTAAACACCTCTGACAGCCCTGAGCCCAAATGGAGCTTAATCAGCCTTCATAGTGGAAACTAAGGCACGGTTTGTCCAGTGGTTAGGAGCTGCACAGAGCTTCTGGGACTTCCGAAGTTTTGATGTTGGAAGTGGGGATGATGGGAGACAATGGCCAGAAGGTACAGTCTGACCATTTTCAGAAGGGAAGTTCTCCTTGAACTCTACTCTTACGTGGGTTGGTGTGTTAGGAAGGTAATGTTCACCACCTGCTTAATAAACAAAGACCTTCCTGAGAGCTTCTTTTCCTTTCAAGACATCTCCTGTGTAGACATGGACTGGAACACTGAAAGACTACCCTCCAGGGACCTGGAGTGAGCATCTGAGGATGAGCAGTCAGGAAGATGATGATATTTACAGTCAGTACTCAGTGTCCATCCAGACTAGTGGGGGTGTGCAGCGAGACAACCCCCAAATCATTTACATTTGACTCTGAATATTGTTCATTTAATGTGGGTTCTGATGTCAATGGAACTATCACGAAAAATGAATAAATAAATAAATAAAGGAATGTTATGAAAACCTAACTTCTACAACTTGCCTAGTCTTTGTAAACCTTGAACACCTTGAATACTGCTTCCAGCTTCAAGTGTCACTTTAAAGGGCCCATTGACCAAGTGGAGGGATCAGACTAGTGAGGAGATTTGCTACTACCTCCTAAGAAGAGTGTTTGTAGGGCATAGAAATGCTTTAACGGGATTAAATAGAAGATTTAAGAAGTAAACGGTAAGGTTTTCACAGAATAATGGATTTATACTAGTTAACCTCTTGGGAAGAAGTAGAACCAAGTGACAAGAGGTTTAGCAAGGAATATCCCAGCTGGCAGGACTTCCAAACAGTTGGCACATCTGACAATGAAGAAACTGCTGGGGGAGGGAGGGGAAACACTACTCTGAAGTGTGCAAGCCGGCATGGGATCGCCCCTTAGCAAAGATGAGTTGGAGAGATTCACACCTGACCTAAGGCTCCAGACTACCTTCTAACCCCAAGATGCTAGGTTTCTATTTCATGATTTTGTCTCAAGTATTACTTGACTTTAACTTCATGCCAGGAATAAATCACATCTTAGACTGATGCCAAGTTATCTTCTTCACCAGTAGCTTGGAAGTCATTTGGTCTTAAAACTTTAAAATAATTTTTTTTGTTGTTGTAAACCATAGGAATCAGGATCACAAAAGAAAACTACCTTAAATGGAACAGGTGCTAAATCTGAAAATCTTGAGGGATGTAGCATGTGGATACAGTCCAGTGGATCATTGACAAGACTAATTTGATTTCCACTTAATCCTTTTTTCTGTGATTTCACAGCAACTATAGCACTTTCCACCTTATAGGGAGAAAAATGTCCCCTAATGTCAACAACTGCCCCTTCCAGACAGATGGTTCTCATTTCAAGACATGAGCAGTCAACCCACTTCTGAGACAAAGTCGTACCCCGGGCTTGAAGCTGAAAGCCACAAGAGGCTCTGATTACAGGCTGGATCACTGGATTTCTCCATGACTTAGCAAAACTGGCTGCCAGGGCCATCTGCATTGAGGGACTTTAACTTCATGCCAGGAATAAATCACATCTTAGACTGATGCCAAGTTATCTTCTTCACCAGTAGCTTGGAAGTCATTTGGTCTTAAAACTTTAAAATAATTTTTTTTGTTGTTGTAAACCATAGGAATCAGGATCACAAAAGAAAACTACCTTAAATGGAACAGGTGCTAAATCTGAAAATCTTGAGGGATGTAGCATGTGGATACAGTCCAGTGGATCATTGACAAGACTAATTTGATTTCCACTTAATCCTTTTTTCTGTGATTTCACAGCAACTATAGCACTTTCCACCTTATAGGGAGAAAAATGTCCCCTAATGTCAACAACTGCCCCTTCCAGACAGATGGTTCTCATTTCAAGACATGAGCAGTCAACCCACTTCTGAGACAAAGTCGTACCCCGGGCTTGAAGCTGAAAGCCACAAGAGGCTCTGATTACAGGCTGGATCACTGGATTTCTCCATGACTTAGCAAAACTGGCTGCCAGGGCCATCTGCATTGAGGAATCTTGCAGTAAGGGGACAGCATCTATGAAGCTGTTTTGAAACTACAGGTGTACTCACCCAGCCCCTGAGAGGCAATTGGCAGACTTGAATAGCATCCATATTTGAAACTAAAATCCTGAAACTCAGGAATCTTAGCTGGAATTTGGTAATTTCGTCGAAATTCAGTGTCTAGAGGTTGGGGAAGACACTTTTTTGTTTCTGGAGACACTTGAAAACTTTTCTTAATCTTCTGGGCTGGGGTGGGGGTAGAAACAGAAGGCAGAAAGTACTCCTTATAAGCTGTTTCTAAGTAGCTTTGCATTCCATTTTGTTTCTGGCAGTAACTTCCAATTTACCATACTAAAACCCCGCTCTTCTCGAATTTAGAGGCATGGTCAATGTACTTTTTGATAGATACTTCAACCAAGAAATAATGATCTGTTTACCAGGCACAGGAAGTACACCTTTACTCATATTAGAAGTCATTTCTAATGAATACATTCGCATGTCAGGAGTGTTCTTTTGTTCTGCTTGGTGGGCACAGGAGGCATTGATCAGTCCCTGCAGTTTGCCTGGTAAGTCTGCCCTGTCTCTGGGGCAGGGATGGGAAGGGTGAGAGCTTTTGGAGAAGGTTAGGGCTGCCATATAAAACACAGGATGCCCAGTTAAATTTGAATTTCAGATAAACAATGAATACTTTTTTCATGTCAGTAGGTATAAGCACTTCTTATCTTTGTATATTATGATTCCAATTTAACTAGGTAGCCTGTATTTTTATTTGTTTCATTTGGCACTCCTAGATAGGGTGGTGTATATCATCCCACTACCTGGAAAAGAACCACTTGAAACTTATCCGTTACTGACGGAAGGTTAGGTAACATCATTGTCATTCGTGGACAGTAACACTATTATTTCTTTGAAATATCACTGTTACAGAATAGTCATCAAATATATCATGATTAAATATCTGTGTAGCACTGTCCAAACATCAGTTCCACAAACACTACCAGATTACTGAGAAGAGAACCACAGCTACCTCACCTAGAATGTGTTCACCCCTCTTTCTATGAAGCCTTAGTTCACAGGCGCATCACACAATACCGTCTTACTCAGAAGGACAAAGATGTTAAAAAACATTCATTTCATGAGCGATGTACAAACAGTGCAAATTACTATTGTCGCTGAGCTCAATTCTCTTCCAAATTAGTTTTTCAGTAGGTCTTTTCAAAATAAAATCCAATATACATTGTATATCAAATGATTTGTAATGGCACTCACTAGTGTTCATTGTATATTAAGGGACACATAATTGAATCTACTGGCACCTGAGAGCATTATGATACTGATTTTTAAAAAATGAGCTCTGCTGAAACCAGCAGAGAAGGAGAGGGTTCCACTCCATGCTGTATCTTACCTTCCATGGCTTAGGGAGAGAGGACACAGGTGCTCAAGGACCCTCACAATGACCCCACAAACTGCCCCTGAAGAAAGCAGGCTACAGAGAGGGGGAAGTGGTAGGGCTCAAAACAAAGGCATTCC